CTCTCTGAATACAAAAACTCTGCTCTAAGGCAGTGCTGAATGAAGAATTAAAGAGCTGGCACATTTCCCATCAATCTCTTGCATCATCTGCCCAAACCCGATACTCATAGAGAGGATGTGATTTACAGAGCTGGTTTATGACTTAAAACATGTAGGTAGGAGATGCCACAGATTGTAAATATGAAAAAAACACTGAAATAAAAGACTTGTCAGGGAAGGAAAGCTGCACACCACAAAATAAAACATGGCAAAATTTCAGCACTCTGAATCACTCCTCTAAAAGACAGAAGGAACAACAGCCAGCTTTTTTTTTTTTTTGTAGTGCAGCATCACAACCAATGGTCTGATGATGTAATGAAGAGTAGATACCTCCTGCCACAGGATGAGCTGCAACAAGCCTGCTGCCACAGCAGTTTAACTGTGGGGGAAGTGGAACTGCCCCATAGGTGTATCAGCAAGATCTGTGTACTGAACAACAGCTGCCAAGGCAGGGTTATGGGCAGAAGAACTAAGTGACTGTGCCAGTGTGCTGGGAGAGCAGCCCAAGAGGCTGCCAAATGTAAAGGTGAAAATGTCTCTGAGCACCACAGTGGAGAGGAGCTGTGGGTTTCCTTTCTTTCCTAGAGTGCTCAAGAACCATCAGCATCACAACTGTTCTTCAGCATTACAGGGGAATTATGAAGGTCTCAAAATAGTAAGGAACAGCACCAGACAGAATCTGCACCCACTTAATTTAATGCTAAGCATTCAAATGAGCAGCTGCTCCTACTCTCCGCACTATTGCTCACCGCAGAAACACACTGCCAGTTGGCTGATGTCATTTTTTTCCACCTCAGTTCTAAGATAGTTTCAGCTTTTCACTACAGAAATACCTATTGTGATTGAGGAGAATAGAGTCTGCATTTATATATTTCAGGCAGCTCTTGGGCTTTTCTGAAGGAGAGAAGGGCACCAAAACATAAAGTATGTCAGAAGCTGCTGCTTCTCTGCCACAGGCACCACAACTTATTTACCTCCCTGTTCCAGTACAGCCCTCCAAGGCCTTCCTCCCATATTTGTATTCTAGTCAGCCCCTTCCAAGATATCTTATCTGCTATCAGCCTCCACAGCTATTTCCTCTGATGTAAGAAAACCACACTGTACCATGGTGAAAACTTCTCTGTAAGGAGACAAATGTTCTCTCTTTTGCCCTCCCACTCCATTCTCTGCCAGGCACCCACACCAGCATGTTCTCAGTACTTGCCCCTGTTACTGATCATCTCAACCCCATCTGCCAGGCAGTCTCCATTCTCTTATTCAGAGAACCAGCTGAATTGTTGATGTCTTCTCATGTTTTCTATATTTCCATCTATCTTTTCAGGTGGACGGTGCTCCCTCAACTCATCTAATGTCATTGCTGTGTAGTTTTAAGAGCTTCTCCATAGGAAAGCCAACCAGGAGCCATGGAAAACCTGAGCCCAGGCTGTGCCCAGACCAGAGTCTCACAGGACCTAAGAGCAGCAGGCAGAGCCAAATGCTGACAACAGGTTCAACTGCTAGCCCTAGAGAATACAAAAGGAAGACTCAGGCCTTGCACTCATCCAGAGAGACCAGGTTCAATCAACAGGAGATTGAAGGAGACAGGACCAAAACCAAGACTTCAACATCAGTTCAAGATCTGCCAGGAAACTTGGCTGGAGACAGAATGAGCAACAGGCACGTCCCAAACAACTCAAGCAAAACCAAATCAGGACTCTTTTATGACAGATCAGACAAGTTCCATACTTCTTCATGTAATAAGATCTCTGCCAATGTTGCTCACTACAGTGAAGTCAACTCTGATTTAAATTATAATATGGGGTGGCTGGCCCAAGTGATTTGCTTCTTCTTCTGCCCTGATCTTATCTTACACTGCTTTCATGCAAAGCATCATTTAACTTCACTCAGTTGTACTTTAAAAATGTAGAAAACTAGAAAAAGTGTAGAAAATGTGAGGGCAGAGAGCCCAGCCTCAGTGAATGTAACAAACAATACCAAACTGCCTCTAAGATTGTCTGACTGACTCTGAATGTTGATCAGTGTGAAGGAGCCTGATGTTGTTAGATCTGCTCCTCTGCAGTTTTCACAGCTTGCTTGTTTTGGGTGGCATCTTAGAGTCTCTAACTCTCCAGAATGTGAGTAAACACATGCAAAATCTAAAGAGCAGCATTTTATAGTATGAGGTGTCTCTGTCAAGGTGAGAGGGAAGAAAGAGAATGCTGTCCCACTCCCTGGTGGGGAATGGGAAGGTGGTTCTTGTTGGAGCCTGACCCACATCCTGACTCCCATCTCCCACTCTGCAGGAAATAAATCCAACGCACAGAGCAGCAGCACAAGGCTTCTCAATGTATCATGGCCCTTGCTGGTGCTTGAGTCACCCTTAGCTCTCATACAGGGTTTTCTGGTAGTGATGCCTGAGGACATCTTCAGTCCCCTTTTCAAGAAGCATTCCCTTCCCACCACAAAAGCAGCCTTGGTCCAGAGCACACTCTGGATGGAGTGATATCTCCATTCTTTTGTGGATCTAAATTGCAAATATGTCACTGAACATCCCAGGAATGGGACAAATAACAACAGTTCCTGCATGGACCAGATTCCATTTCTTTGAAGCAAAATCCTGGGCTGATCCTCATCATCACTCTACCTTCTGGTTAAAAATACCTGACCTTGTGAAACTTCACAGCTGTCTCTGGGCAGCCAGCCCCTCCCTGTCCAGTCAAACACCCGTGGAGGTCTACTGAGGACCAGGCAGTTCTGCCTGTTTCCACGTGCCCTTGATCTGATATCCCCCTGATACTGGCTCCTCCTATTTTTAATCTTCTTCCACAGCTTGATAACCTACTTGTTATGCACCTACACGGACACACGCGCTAACCGGCCGGGGGGATGGAGGGCGGGGGCTGGTGGTGGGTGGATGTGGCTGTCTTGGGCGGCTCTGTGCTCACCACCACCCTCTGCCCAGGAGCTGCGGCGCCGCGCTGAGGGGTTCCTCCTCTTGCAGTGCGGGCTGCTGCTCTCCATCTCCAGTGATGCACGGGCTTTGGATGCTGCTCGGGAAGCAGTGGGAAGGAATGCTGTGTAGTGCCGACACATCTCCCCGGGACTGCTGTTTATCGGGGCGGTGGGAAAACACGCTGCCGGAATATCGAGCATTTAATAAGTCAGTAAGTGATCAAATAAATCAGCACTTCCCGCACCGAACACAAGCGGTCTCATTCACCAGCGGGAGGTTGAGCGGCGGCGCTCCTCGCTCCGCTGCCCGCGGTGGTGTAAGAAAACCGTGGGTGAATGGGAAGCTCGGGGTTTCCCTGGCACTCAGCCGTGCAGGCTGGGACTGCGGCTCCTGCCAGGGCGGGGGTGCCGCTGCTGCCACCGCCCCCGCCCTGCCCGTCCGCGCCTCTCCGCGGCTGCGGGCCGGCCGCTCCCGCGGTGTCCTGTCACACCCGCCGCGTTACACAACTGCTGGTGACAACGGTGGCTTTGGTTACCCCTCACCCCGGGCTGCCACGGGACACAGCGCCGTCAGCCCGGTGCTGGGCGCAGGCTGCGCCGCATGAGCGCCCCCCGCCCCGCGCAGAGCCGCGCACCGGCAGAGGAGCCCCGCGCTCCCGCTGCGGATCCCCGCTTGTCCCCCGCAGTGCAGCAGCCCCGAGAGCGGAGGCTCCGCGCGGGACGGCGGTGGATGCGCGGGGCCGCCCCTGGCCGCCAGCACCGCGCCCAGCCCTGCGCTGCGCGGAGCACAGCGCGCACTGCCACCCGCACTCGCAGCCCGTTGTCCTGAATGGGAGGGTGATTCCCACGCCCAGTTTGCTCGGAGATTTTCAACAGCTCTATGCCGTACGAGCGAGAAGATACAGTCAGAAGAAAGTGCCTTTTTAATTTTTTTTTAAATTTAATTTATTTACCAGTACGCCCACCACACGAGAGGGTGAAGGGGTACCCAATTCAGTCAACTGGGTCCTCCTCACAGCTGGGCAATGGCTCCCTGTTCCCTCCTTTGTTTGAAGCAAATGCTGCTTTTGGGGAACAGGCGATCCAGACTTCACCGGGCTCGTAGGGGTGGCACGGGGCATCCCCGCTACCTTTCTCTCCGTCTTCCCCGTGCAGACCGCCCCCGCTGCCCAGGGTGCGGGGGAGGAAGAAAGGCTGCAGGGGAGGAAGGAGGGGGGGCAGCCGAGGCGGTGCGTGTCCCCCCCCGCCGCCCCCTCGCTGCGGCAGCACGTGGTGCTCCCGGGACGCGGGTCCTCAGACGCCCCCCCTGCCCAGCCAGCCAGTCTCCTTCGCGAGGAGCTTTTTATAGCAGCTCCGACCCGCTCCCCGATGGGAGGTTTCTCGCCGCGCTCACGTTACCGTGCGGGTGCGATGTTAAATAAAGGAGGGGGAGGAGGGGAGGGGACTTCGGCGGGCGCTTAATTAAGAGCCGGCGTTAACCAGGAGGGCTAAAAATAGCGCCGAGCGCCGCAAACCACCCAACCGCAGACAGCAAGCCCCGTCGATCCCTGCCGCGCCTCCGCCGGTGAATGGAGCGGCCGGCGCTGAATGGAGCGGCCGGGAGCATGAATGGGGAAGCGGAGCGCGCCGTGAATGGGGCGGCGCGGCCGCCGCGGGGGGGCGCTGTGGCGCCGCGCGGCAGCAGCTGGAGCCCCGGCCGCGCACGTGCCGGCGCGGGGGCGGCTCGGTGTCACCTGGCGGCAGCGGTGGCGGCGGGCGGGGCGGCGGCGCGGGCGGGCTATAAAAGTGTCCCGCCGCGGCACATGCACACTTCGGGGAAACTTCCTGCCTGGAGTGGCGGCGCCGGCCGCCATGGGAGGTGCGCCCGCTCCCGCCTGCCCCGCTCCGCCCTAGGGCGGGCAGCCCCGCGGCGCAGGGCGGCCGCCACCGCGACCCCCGCCCCGACCTGAGCTGCCCCCGCCGGAGGCAGCGCGGGCGGGCGCGCCCGTCCCGCCGGTACCCGGTAGTGCCCTGGGAGGTTCGGCGGCAGGATGAGAGTGAACGAGAGCGAGCTGAACAGCTCCGTCCTCCCGCGGGACCCGCCGGCCGAGGGCGCCCCGCGCCGCCAGCCCTGGGTGACCTCCACTTTGGCCGCCATCCTCATCTTCACCATCGCGGTGGACCTGCTGGGCAACCTCTTGGTCATCCTCTCCGTCTACCGCAACAAGAAGCTGCGAAACGCGGGTAAGGGGCGGCGGGGAGGCCCGGGGGCGCCGCCCGGGCTGGGGCGGGTGGGGGTCCCGTGGCCCCGGGGGGCAGCGCCGCGGCCGCTTCGTCTGCCGGCGAAACTTTCCCCGAGCGCGGAACTCCGGGGCTGGGCTCTTTGTCTCCATCCCCAGCTGGCGGTTACAGGCTGTGACAGATGCCAAGGGCTCCGTCTTTCCTGCCGAGTCGGTAATCGAGCGGGAAAGGATATTTTTAGCTCCCGCCACTGAATCCTGGTGCTATTTTTAGCTCTCGGCAGTTCCCACCTAGCAAAAGAGAATGGCAAGTAAGTCGTATTTAAGAATGAAATTTAGACACGGTACTGGGGATGCTGCCTTGGCATACAGTGTGTGTCTGTGCATGCTGGATGCTATTCTTCTGATTGATTTTCTTTGAGTTACAGAAATGTCTTCAGTAACAAATTCTGTGGTTGGAGCTTCAAATCAAGCGAATGCGAAGTTATAAACATTGCAGGATTCAGACAATTCCCTCCCCCCACCTTTGTTCGCCTCCTACTTGCTGTCTAGGTCTTTGGGGAATGGAAAACATCTAACAGAAAACAGCTTTAGGCACTTTTTTAAAAAATCAGCCTCTAATTTTGACAGGATAGAATCTGTGCTGGTCTATTGAGTAAATCCCTCTTAGTTCATGGATTATTGGTCAGACAGGCAGGAACTTCTTCAGATTCATTCTGCTTTATCATGTCAGACCAGCTGCTGCGCACGTGTACCAAATCTGTGCACTCCAAACCCTATGCATCTTTCATTGAAAAAAATACAGGAGCATGGGAAGAGAGCTGTACTGGTAATGAAAGCAGAATTTCACTCCATGACAACTGAGAAGCTGCTTTTATTTTTTTCACAACTGGGCTTTTATTTTTTTCACAACTGGGCTGTCAAGGTCTCCATTACTACTGCACTAAGTTCATTAGTTAATGGCTTAAAATTCATCTGAGGGGGAACTTGAGCCTGGGCTTTGAGCTAGCCTAAGAAAGGTATCTAGTACTGGACTCTGGCAGACAGTGGCATGCTTGTCTTTCTGAGGTTAATTCAGGTAATTCTAGTGGATTGTCTGCTTCAGTTTCATTCAGCCACAGTGGAATGCCACACACAAGATCAAAATGAAGAATAACAGATTTTAATTTTTTTTCCTCTCTACAGTTGTCACTGATGTAAATTCTGAAAGCTCTTTTATCTTCCTGCTTTCATTGGCAGGAATTCCATTCACTGGAGCTGGCAGGGCAACACGTGCCTGTAATTGAAAGGAGGCTCCAACTCCCTAAGTCCAAGTGACCACTTGACTACCCTTGTTCCCTGGAAGACTTTTAGATGGAGGGAGGAAGGGTTGAGACAGGCATATTACTTGGGTTACTCTAGGGGAATGGGTGATATTCTCCACCTCCTTAATTAATAAATCTATGCTTTAGCACTTCTGTGGGTAGTTTGCAATATGGACAAGTCTGAAATAAACATGGTGTCTTTTTTCTGGAGACATAACTGAATGCTTGGGCTCTGTGTGTGCATATCTCTGCTGTAGATATCATGTAATCCCTCCTGAATCTCGACAAGTGCTCACTTGCTCACTCTTACTGCATTTCTTGTTCTTGCCTTTTCTGTCATAGTGACTGTTAAGAACTGCAATAAGCTGGCAACAGCTAGGAGAGTAGAGTATTCTTCTGAACATAAATTGTTTGAGACTGGAACATGAAGTAGATACTTCTTGACCCTCTGAAACAAAGGATTAATTAAAACAAGTACATACTTTGTACAATGTGATGAATAGTTTATAGTCGTGATTTAGGAGAAAAATAGGAGCAAGCTTTTAAAGCTCTTGAGTTTGAGGGTTTTTCTCTTTAAAATATGGGGGGATTTAGTAAATGGATTAAAGGAATCTTTGGAAATAACACAGGTTTTAAAAAGGTGTTGTAAGTGTTCTTGACTAATCCTGCAAAAACCTTTGCCTGGGAATAACTTTATTTATATAAGCACCACCATTTAATTGGGCCTTCAATTAGGACTTACTCAGGCAAATAAATTTGTAACAGGAAGTATTTAGAAGACCCTGGCCTAAATTGGTAAGTTTGAAGACTAAAGTCTCCCAGGTCTTGTTTTTCCTAATTCAGATTATTCAGGAAGAGATTACATTGAAAATAATCTGATTTATCCATACAACTAATTTGTAACTTGGTAATGCCAAAGGCAGTTACGACTTTTTACAGAAATGTATTAAGAAAGAAACTTCTACTTTTGCAACAACTTATATTAATTAAGTCTTGCTGGCACATTTATTGAGGAAAAAGGACACAGGATGAAAATTCCACTGGAAAAAGGTCAGGGAGGAACAGAAGATACCTCCTGAAGAAAATGTATCTCACTGAAGATTTTCTTCCCTCTTTGCAAGAGAGGACTAACAGAAATAAAGAGTATTTAACCCTTTCACAAAAAGGTGGATTTGGTGGGGGAAAACATCTTTCATCTCTGTCCTACTCTCTATTATATACATATGTATTGGAAGATACTACAAATTGAACCTGTGGACTTACAATTTAAAAAGTGCATTGGGGAATAGTAGGAAGGCCTAGAAAAACCTTCTCAACAAGTGGTGTAACCTTCCTGACAGTCAGAAGGTTAGTAAAAGACACTGATCAAAGCAGAGAAGTCAGTAACTCAAAGAAGTTTGTCTCAGCAAGCGAGGAGTGTCTGATACTACAGACTCCTTCATAGGCACAAGCATGGCTTCAATAGATGCTCTTCTAGACACAGAAGCTGATGATGCAACTGGTAGGATCCTCTTTTATTTAATGTACTTGACTTGTAATAAGTTTCATAGTTCTGGTCTGTTATTTCTTTTATGGTGGCTTGTAATCCAAGAGGTGCCTGACACCAATTCAGTCCTGATGGGAACAGCTGCAATTTAAAGCTGACCTACACAAAGACTGAATTTGGTTTATGATATCTGTAATCTTTTAACTTTGAAACAAAGTTCAAGGGAAACATTCAAGGCATAAGGATTTTAATGACCATATCTTGGTAGTGTATTCATGCAGCTTGAACTTTAAACTGATGTGCCTTCTTTAATAGCCAATTTTCAAAAAGAATGAGAACAGATCATTTTAAAGAGAAGTTTTGTGTAAATCCTTGTCTCATTTACCCTTATAAATATTCATAGATCAGAAATAAGGTCATTCAACAGATCCACCCTGGGAAGATGCAATAACTAGCCTTAGGGAAGGTGTATTAAAAAACTGTTGGTACTTTTAATGAGTGGAATTTTTACTTGAAACTGTCAACATCAAATCAGAGCATCTCCAAAAACTGAGGAGATCATTTAAGTGATCTATGTAATACTACAGACAAATTTGTTGATTGCTGGTATCCTTATGCCTTTGTTGTTACCCACACCAAGAAAAACAATGCATCAAGAACAAGGTGAGGGAGCAGTTCTAAGTCTTTGACACTATGGAGATTAGTTTTCTGCTAGTGACATTAAAATGTCAACAGATGCCTGTTCTTTTGGTGACAGGTAGATTTGGGTATTCAGTGATTGCAGGACTGGACCATTCTTAGTCAGTGAAGAAAGTTTTCTTGCATGGTATTACACCTCTTGCTCTTCTTTCTCTTCCTTTTGAACCTGTTCTCTTGGCCTGACGGGTTGCTTTTTTTCTGGGTGTTCCGTGTGCTGAGGTCCAAAGGTTCCCTGGCTGCCCCCTCCAGTGGAGTCCAGTGTGGGAAGGGAGGCCCAGCAGCCTCAGCCTCACTCCTCACTGTGTGCCTGTCCTGTCTGCTGTCACTGGGCATGGGCTGGGATAACACAGGGCCTGGTGCCAGGCTGCTAACTAGCACCTACTAAATCAGGGCAGAAAGCTGCTTCTCACTGATCTCTGGTCTGTGCTAGGTGTACTTGGGGTTTTGTACATTTTTCTAGCTTTTCATGTCCTTGGCCCAAATGTTTTGTTGCTAAAACTTTGTTACTAGTGAAGAAGGCATAGAGGGAGTTTGACATTGCTGAGGCCCCAGGGCCCTGGGCAGCAAGATACAGTTGATTTCGCTAGGACTGCACACATGCTTAAACTTACCTATGTGTGGTAACTACTTTTCTGAATGAGATGGCAATGACAAAGGGAAAAAACCCCAATGTTTGCATGCTCAATCTGCCTCACCTGCTTTAGATCCCAAGAGTTCTGTGAAGACAGCTCTGAGTGCTCAAAAGAATACAATGAACTCAAGGGTAATATTGAGTAAGGGTAATTTCTCTAAAATCTCTTCAGATCAGTGAAGTCACTCTTGAAAGAACTAACTAACACAGCTACTTATTTTTTTTTTTCATTCTTTGCTGAATACTACAACCATTGCAGAATTAGGGTTGGGAATCTATCAGTTAGAATTTAATTTTGGAGGCTTTTCAAACTGGCCCTGGGTTTTGATTCAAGCAGTGTAAGAATCTAGTTGAGGAGTGCTCCTCTCTTAATGCATTTTCTAGAATAAAAATTTTAAAAATAAGGACGGAGTTATCTTTTGATAACCAGATTGGAGATATCATCAGCCTTTTCAGAAAAATGTTGTTCTTGATGATGTTTTGTTTTTTAGTTTTAAAATTATAATATTAAATGCTCTAGTAAAGATTGTTTTATCTAATAAATGAAACTCCTTTTGTGAATTGAGACTAATGAAATCCTTCTTTTTGTCACAGGTGAACCTTGGACTTCATTTTGTGCCCTGAGAGACTCTGGGTAGCCCGACAAATCCTTGACACAAGGAAGAGAGCTTAGAAGATCAAGTTATAGCACAAATTCAGGGTTCTGATAAAAACTGAGATGTTGATGGCAATGAACATTATTTCAGAATTTAATAACTTCCAGTATTAAAAATGGTAAGCTGTTTGGGAGAAGGGAAAATGTTTAGAGGAGATGCTGAATTTTTCCAATTGTTGAACAGAAGTGAGCATAAAAATACAGTTTCAATAAAGTTGTTCCTCAGACT